CTTTAATGACCTTCAGTTAGGGGTTTACATCTATTATAGAGTGTTCTTTGCTGTTTTAAATAATAATATAATTAAAACAATAGTTTTAATTTATAATAATATAATAATATAGTAAAAATAATACTTTTAAAATCCACAACAATTTGATATAATTCCAAACCTTCTGATACAATTGAAAAGGGCTTTTTGAGATGAGAAGAAAAACCACAATAAGGCTGAGCCATTCTTAAAAGAATTCACAAAACTTTTATTAACATAGAGAACATAAAAAATATCCATGAACACCAATAAAAGCAAATCACAATTGTTAGCAGAGGATTACCAAAGTCTTGAGGAGCAAGACTAATTAGTTGCATCTATTTATACAAAACCCATATCGTATCAGCCACTAGATGTTATAAAGTGATTTCACCAGTGTTCAATAATTCCACCTTCAAGACATTTCACGTCATCGCTTCATCAGGAAGGTGAGTGAAGTCATTTGTAGGTATTACAATCCAAGTATTTAGGAAAATAATACTCTATTAAAACCCAGTATGAGATGCTGCCACCCCAACAAAGAACCCTCAGGTACAGGCAGGGCCGGATTTACTTTCTCTGCTGCCCCAAGGCCAGGTTCCGTAATGCCCCCCCTACCTGCCAACCGCCCCCCCATGGAGAATGGCAGACCTGCAGACTGCATGCAAGTGATCTTGGCGACATCGCCGAGATCACTTGTGCAAAACAAGTGGTGTCTTCCCCGCTAGCTCTGCTTGCCCAAAGTAGGGCTAAATGTAGAAAACAACTACCCGCCCGACCCCCGGAACTGCATGTCCCGGGCGTCAGGAGACAGGAATTCCACACCCCTGCTGCCCCTTTACTCCCATCTGCCCCAAGGCCGTGCCTCGGTTGGCCTTGTGGTAAATCCAACCCTGGGTACAGGGAAAGAGTAGATAACCGGAGAAGTACACTTAGCAGGACAGCAATCTGTTTGGCGGGAATCCCACATGCGCTGCAGTGCATATGAATCCCCCATATCATTCAATTTTTAAATAAAACCTTTCCGTTTTTATTACATAGCTTAATTTAAACCCAGTGACATAATCACAGGATCTCTGCGCAATGCAGGCAGACCATGGCTGGCGGAGGGGCCTGGCAGGGTGCTGTATATGAAAACATCAGAGCACCCTGCCTCCTTGTACTCCTCAGAAGAGCCCTCACACCTGATGTAAGCAGTGGATTGGCTCTTGGGAGGAGTTATGCAAATATCAAAATGCCTTTAAGAGAGGGTTTCAGTCTGGAGGAGTGGGAGTTTGCAGGCAGGCTGTATTTAAATGTAGGTAATGCCCACATGCGATGCTGAGCTTTCATGAGTGAAAGAACCGAAATCCAATGTATGAAGAGGGTAATACAAGGGACAGTCAGGCTAGGGAGGAACGGACTAGATGATACAGGATGGCCTCCGGCCAGGAAATGAGGCGGGCTCGATCTGATTTGCTGTAGCTTCTAATGTACATTGTGAGAAGCTCACAGTGTGCAGTGACATCAGAGTAAGCAATGCCAGTCCAGGAGAGGAGACGGTACAACCAGTGGTGTATTTTGGTTTTGTGCTGCCCTAGGCAAGACTAAACCCGAGCACCCCCCCCCCCCCAACCCCCAAACCCCCATAACCCCACCAATCCCTAATCTACATTAGTCCCACCCCTTCCTGTTTAAGACATTTTGCATAACCTGTCAGTCGTGGGATTCGTCGCGCACGGTGTGTCTAGATTCTGACAAGTTGCGCTATCAACGTAGCGGGATGCTCTAGTTCTACCTTTGCAATAGCCACCTTCTCCATTCCTGGCTTGATGGGCTCCCTAGTTCTGCAGCTACAATAAACATTCTCTCCTGCCCTGCCATGCTGTGCTAGTCTTTACGTCTGTAGCTGCAACACCGATCTTCTGCCATCATATGCTGGGCCCTCTAATTCTGCAGTTACCCATCTTCTGCCTCGGCCGCTGGGCTCTGTAGTTTGCCCCACTCTAGAGACATAACCCTGCACGGAGCTTATAGGCTGCACTTCCCCGGACTCACCACCACGGAGGTGCCGATGAGCACGATGACCATCTGGATCTCAGCCCTGGGGTACTGCGGAATCTTCTCCGCTGCTTGAAGTCAGAGATTTGGGTGACAGTTTCACAGGGAGATCCGGCGCATGAACTGCCGGTGCATCCGGACGAAGGTCACACACACCAATACAATGCACAGCATGTTGACCAGGAAGAGGAAGGAGCTGCAGCCGGCATATATGTTGGAGTAGGCGGCATGGGTGGACATGTTGGTGCCCCAGTCAAAGAAGCACCAGGTCCAGGGGTACTGGCAGTAATTTATGAATAATTTATATATTTTTTTCTCTTACCTAACTGGTTTAGGGGCAGCATTTTTTGGCGCCCCCCTGGAAAGTGCCGTCCTAGGCAAATGCCTAGTTTGCCTTGCAGTAGATACACCCCTGGGTACAACTGTGCAAGACTGAAGGGAAGGCCGGAGGTCAACTTCACCATACAATGTGGAGGAGATGCCTCTATTGAGGTGTTTTGTAAACAGGTTTCAATGCAGTCATAAAGAAGTTTCTAAAGCTGCTATTAAGCTGGGAGGAGATATAACAAAGAACTGCACAAAAACACTCCAGAAATGTATATTTGATGATTTATTCACATATCACTTGTGATATGTATTTTTTTATTTTGCCCAAAAATGTGAATAAACTTTAAATTAGAGATCTTCAGAGGGTCCATTTAAATAACACAGATCACTGGGTTACAGATCCTATCCATTCTGCCTCTGAACTTTTTCCTGTGCATGAATGTAGGTAAAGGGGATGGCTATGGCCCACGGGTCTCAGGTGTTACCCACAAACCCAGGCTGAGTGCTATGTAAAAGGGCTCTACGTAGGTATCTACTTTGATGTGTTATTTCCTCAGTGTTTGTATTTGACCTAAATACTTAAGGAAGAAACCTCACAAAATATTTTTAAACTTTTACTTAAAATGCATTGCATAAAGCACTGGGTCCCGTTCTGATTGGTAGCCACATTGTGGATTAAAAGCACCCCTTTATTTATGTTAATGCTGGCTGTAGCTCCACCCTTGTACGAGGCCCAATATATGGGCATTCCTGTGTGAGGAGGTACATCCAGCACTCAGCCCCCGCCCCCTCTCTAATCCGACTATTAATTTACTATTGTGAATGAATAATTAGAGCTGAAAGGCTGTGTGAAACACATACATGGCATCAGCAGATATATCACACAGCCCTGCAGCGCTGATCATTCATAATAGTAAAAGTTAACTCAGTGCTGCAGGGCCATGTGTTCTATCTGCTGCTGCTTGTAAACATACACAGCTCAGGTAGATAGATCACATAAACCTGCTGATTGTTCATTAATAATAGTAAAAGATTATTCAGCACTGCGGGGCTGTGTGTCTATCCGTGGCTAGTTGTAAACATACACAGCTCCAGCAGATAGATCACGCAGCCCTGCAGCTATGATTGGTCATTCATAATAATAAAAGATAATTTAGTGCTGCAGAGCTATGTGTTCTATCTGCGGCTGCTTGTAAACATACACAGCCCAGATAGATAGATCACACAACCCCACAGTGTTGATTGTTCATTCATAATAGTAAAATATTATTCAGCACTGAGGGGCTGTGTGTCTATCCGTGGCTGATTGTTCATTCACAATAGTAAAAGATCATTTAGTGCTGCAGGGCTGCGTGTCTATCCGTGGCTACTTGTAAACATACACAGCCCAGGTAGAGAGATCACACAGCCCTGCAGCTATGATTGGTCATTCATAATAGTAAAATATAATTTAGTGCAGCAGGGCTTCGTGTTCTATCTGTGTCTGCTTGTAAACATACACAGCCTAAGTAGATAGATCACACAGCTCTGCAGCTATGATTATTCATTCATTATAGTAAAAGATAGTTTAGTGCTGCAGGGCTATGTATTCTATCCGTGTCTGCTTGAAAACATACACAGCCCAAGTAGATAGATCACACAGCCCTGCAGCTATGGTTATTCGTTCATAATAGTAAAAGACCATTTAGTGCTGCAGGGCTACTTGTCCTATCTGTGGCTGCTTGTAAACATACACAGCCCAGGTAGATAGATCACACAACCCCACAAGCGGGATCATTCATTCATAATAGTAAAAGATCATTCAGCGCTGTGGGGCTGTGTGTCTATCCGTGGTTAAACGTACACAGCTCCAGCAGATAGATCACACAACCCCACAGCACTGAATGACATTTTACTATTCTGAATGAATAGTTTAGCGCTGTCAGGAGCAGTGCCATGTATGACACAGCCCCACAGTGCTGCCTGTTCATTCATAATAGTAAAAGATCACTCAGCGCTGAGGGTCTGTGGCATAGATCTGCCAGGGCTGTGTACTGACAAACAGTTGCACATAGACACACAGCCCGCATGCTGTGTGATCTGTAGTGAATGTTCTTCGGAGCGCCCCCTTCTGCGAGAGACCACCGCTGTCACTCAAAATTCTGTCTCTTTGCTAGCAGCATGGTCGTACAGCAGTGGGCAAACTGTCCAACCACACTGCTTAGCAAAGGCAAAGACAGAACGGAGTTGAACGGGACCAAGTGCTACATGAACTTGGTCCCCTGTGGGATTAAATAAAAGTGTGAGAGATCTTCATTAAAGTCTGAAACTGAATCTTTAGTTCTCCGCAATGTTATCTACTTTCTACACCAACAGATTTTGCATTAAGCACAACCAGGCTCCTACAATGTAATCGTATGCAAACTAAATGATGGTTGATAATAACATTTTTGGTAATAATTCACCATCGCTTCTGAATACTTTCCATTCATTTACGGAACACAGACATGTCTAGATGGTGTTTTACATATGGTTATGGAGACAAGACACAGGGAATTTTTGGAAGACCTTTCAGTCTACAAGATCTATAACCACTTATACCACAAGCAAGACAAGGGAAGCAGAGCGGAACCTACCTGATTTGAAGAAAGGAAGTCCTGGTTACTTTCATTCATACTCATGTACATGTTTTCCCCATCAAACTGTAAGAGAAAATAAGAATTGCATTGAAAACCAAATTTTGAGCATTGTTCAAAAGGGACACAAAGGGTTTTACCGTGATAAAGAGGAATAGGTCACAGGTGAGATGTAACCACATGTTATTGTCGCTGACTTGCTGTTTATTTTATATATGACCCAGAAACTTGCTTTCTGTATGACTCATTGATTTATTTATGTGAATGTTTATTTATTTAAAGCAGATATAAACCCAATGAATAAAAACCCCTTAAAAGTATTTTTCAATATTATCAAATCTGCAGCTTTCATTGAACTAATACCTGGTGATCCTGCCAGGAATGCCTTTGTTCAGGCACTTCCTGTAATAGGGTAACAATGCTCTATCCCTGTGTTCAAATTGTGCTCATGCGTTGTCACACAGACTTCTGCTGCAGACTACAAGTGGCCGTTTTAACACGTGCAAGGTCAGCTATTGTGACCATCAGGAAACCCCCCTCTGTGGCTGCAGTGCATGTAGACAGGATGTGGCGGCAAGGAGGCCACAGGAGATCAGCAGCGCTGACATGAACAAAGGAGAAAACAGGTATTTTATGGGGAATTGTTTGAATGAAAACAAACTGAAAGCACAAATTAATCTGTCGTAAAGTTATGGGTTTATATCTACTTTAAACAAAAAGAAACTCAACAAAACGATTAGCATTTAAAAGTAATTAATGAAGAGCACTTGTTGTTTTACAGAGCAAACAATGTAACACAAAGAAGGGGGTTAGTGATTGTTGGCACATTACTTCTTTGTCTCAGAAGCTTTTTGTGTGTTTCAGAAGAGATATTTTAACCATACAATGATAATGAATTTTTTACACTTTGATAGATTTTATTATACTGATCATATATATACTTTTTTTTTAAATTAAAGGAGAACTATGAGGTGAGTGCTTTTCACTCACCTCATAGTTCTAGCCGACCTGTGACAATGAGACTGTCACAGGTCGGCTCAGTAGATCGGGAGGTGAGCGAACACATACCGGGTTCGCTCGCCTCTCGATCCTGTCACGGCTCTCTGCCATGACAGGGGGAGGGGCTGGATTCCCCTCTCCCCGCTCCGATC